CACTCTTTATGTTTTTGTTAATGCACCCCAGCTGGGGGGATGGGCTTTCTATCCTGATTTATCAAGCTTCGTATCCTCTAGGAATTGAATCTTTTTCGCATGTGGCATTGTCACCCATTCCTTATCAAGTCCTTGTGTGGTTGGTTGATTTTACGGACCAAAATTGAAGACTTTACCCTCTTTGGTCTACATTTTCCTTTTAGGCGTATTATTAACAACACACATTTTTATCATTCTTATTTATTTAGCTTACTTAAATCTTTTAAGGTCCTGATTCAGTTATCTACCTTACTACATGATTTAACCGTTATGCCCTTTTTAAGCCAAAAATAACAATATTTAACAAGAACGGCAGAAGTTAAAGGAAGAAGCTAAAGTTAAGGCAAGTTATAGGATACACACACACAACCCATGCATAATGAGGATTTATCCCCAGTTCGGTGCAGCGAGGATGTTCTGTTTCTGTCATTGAGTGTATTTTTCTCGTTGGTTTATGACTGTCTTCATTCTGATCATGCTTTCAGGTTCTTTTGCTTTGCAGTGTTTCAGACACTGTCAATTAAATGATAATTTTTAAAATATTCAAAACATGGACTATTTGATGGAATCATCCCTGTATAGACGATAATAGCATAGTGCCATTTAAAAGCCATAGAATTTTATTAGGAAGCAAATTAGATGTGGATAGCCGTGCTATTCATCCTTTCTCAGCTGTCCCGTCTATTCTGATTTTTCTACTTCTTAAGGAGAAAAGGGAAATGACATTTTGAATATACAAGCGTCCCTGGTATTTTACATTTGTATAGCACTTCAAAGTTACAGTATATTTACATACAGATCTCATTTGTCAGGTTTCTGGCTTTAGCAAAATAGCTGTTAATACTAACGTGAATTAGTGCATATCAAAATCTCCTCCTTTGTCACTTGATAATTTCTATATTCCCAAGTTCAAAAAAGTAGGATTGCTGTGCAACCTCGCGTTCATGTATCAAATAGATGTGTGTCTTTCTATCAAAATCCAAATTTGAGTTAATACTAAATCTTGAGGACAACTTAGGGGCCCACTTGTTAACTATCAGGAAGTGGCTTGTATATTCCAAGTACTAACAATTGCTGGCCTTTCATGATTCATAACTGAGAATCCTAATACGAGGCCAATAGTAGGTTCTCAGTAGTCATTTGACTCTAAAGTACTATGATTTGTATTTTCTTCTGCTTTTAAACATCAAGTAAATAATGCCGATGAACACCGGAATCGGAACTTCAGTTGATTTTCATTTCAGTTTATCAAACGCTTAAGCACCTACTAGGAACAAAGCACAACTTAGGTGTTGTGGCAACACACCAATGAATATAATACAGTGTCTGCCCTCCGGGAGCAAAGAGGTGAACAGCAAATACTTGATTCTGTGTACAACATCAAGAGTGAACCCTAATGTAAGCTATGGGCTTTGGTTGATAATAATGCGTCCATGTTGGTTCATCGATTGTGCCAAATACGCCACACTGGTGAGGGATGCTGAGGGTAGGGGAGTATATATGTGTGGGTGGGGAGGTCTATGTGAGAACTCTGTATTTTCTGTTCAATTCTGCTGTAACCCTAAAACTGCCCTTTAAAAATGAAGTCTATTAAAAAAATATAAGATAAAAAGCACATTTAAAAAATTAAGAAAATTTAAAAAAAATACTTGATTTTAATATAAGGCACACTGTAAGTATTTCATTGGAAAGATGAAACTGTTGTTATGTTTCAGTTATTTCAACAGCTTTTGCTGCAAAACAAATCACCCCAAAACATTTTGGCCTAGAAGTGGAATCATTTATTTAGCTCCAGTTTCTACAGATTGAGTAGATTCAGTTGGGCTCATGCAGACTTTGAGATCAGCTGCCAGGTTGGCTGGGGACTGTCTGAGCTAGGGTGCCTTAGCCGAGCCGACTCTTCTCTGCTCCTTGAGATCTCTCATCTCTCAGCAGCCCAGGCCAGGCGTCGTCACATGGCATCTTGGCAGGATTCCAGGAGAGCAGGAGGAAATAGGAAAATCCCTTGAGCCCTACACTTGAAACTACTGAACAATCACTTCTTCCAAATTCTGTTGGCCAGAGCAGGTCACAAAGCCAGCCCTAATTCAAGGAAAGGGGAAGTAGACTCCAACTCACACTTGCGTTGGAATAGATGACTTTTATATAAACGATGCGATGTCAGCAATGCCAATCAGGAGCAAGACTGAATCTGTAAGTGCAACAAAAGGCCATGAGGTCGAGAGGTCTTTGTAGGCCTGGGAAGTTAAAAATATTTCATGGAAAAGGTAGAGAGTTAAACTGAGAGAAAGTTAGGTATTGGTGAGGGAAGAAGGTATTTCAGACATGGGGAG